CCTTTTCATCTTAGATTAAAAAATACACCTGGCAACACAAAAACGTCGAAGAAAAGACGCATATAACTATTTGGGTCTTCCCAACCTAATAAATAAAACAAAACTACCATTCATTTAACATTTTTACATATTTTGAAAAGGTCATTTGAAGTTGAGAGGACGCTAATAGTAATTTACTACTTTTTTCTTAGTAAATATTAGAAAAGCATTGGTAGTGAGACACAAAAAATAACAACCCGCAACTCTTGAGTAATGATTTTAAAGGGGATATCATACAAGACTTACTACGATAATAATTTAAAATTAAAACATTGTATGTAAATATTAAAAAAAATTTAGTAGATGCGTCTTCTTATCATGAGTCGAATGGTATATTTAACTCATTTATTCGAAAATTGTTAGATGCGCCCTTTTTTCTTATGACCGTAGCATTGTTTCATACCGAGCTAGATACAGGTCGACAGCGGAGTGAGTGTGGGTACAGTCGCGTTCTAAAGTACTACATGGTATTGGGCTATTGTTTTATAATATTATAGTAATTAATTGTTTTATTGTAGAATCATAATAGGTGTTTTACTAGCTACTTAGAACTTTGGAAGAGGTGGGAATTAAAAATAGATAATGTTTACTTGAGCATTGTTTGTTATTTCTATCGTAAAATATAAAGTAGTTTGTAACAAAAAAACTTAAGCTAAGGGTGACACGCCGTCCATTATGACGTCTTGGGTCACATGGAAGCCAGATGTTGATGGTGTGTTGGTGTTACTGGATGCTACTTCATCATCACTTTCATCTTCGCTTGAGCTTCCGTCATCAGGTCGATCACATGGTAATTTTTTCGGTATTCTTCCTCAACAATTTTAACTTTACTGCACAATTTTCCCCATTCACTTTTTCGTTCACTAGTTTAGTCATAAAACAATTGATATAAATAATTTTTTTTCCTTCCTTTTTAAAACATCGTCGCGAGTCGCAAAGTAAGCTGTGTATGCGACTGTATTTTTGGAGCGAACAAAGCGCGGGAACCAATAGCATGCAGGCACAGTAATACTGGCCAATATGTGATAAATCGCTCAGTGCCCAAGTTCAAGGCCAGCGTTCTTTTTTCACCGTTCGCGCGTACATTAACCTCCATTAGTCAGGTGATATCAATTCAGTTTCCACTGCTGGTTTTATGTTTCAGTCTTTTCATGATTTTTTTTATGAAATTATCGTTTCATTTAGCTGTACTAACATGATGACGCGTGAATAAAGCTAATAAAACGTTGTAAAAATATGTTTTTTTTTTCATCAGGATCAAATTTATTTATGACCCATGATCAAAAGTATACTTGGTGCTGTCGCCTGTCTTAGTTTTCGGGAGCGTTCCAAAAATACCCTGTATATACAGAGTTATTTTTCAAAGAGTAGCCAAATTTAAATCTTAAGTTCAAATATATAAATAATGATATACCGTTATTGCAGTTTTTGAAAATAAGAGTAAATAAGGCTTCTACTTTTATTTGAATTTATGCCAAATTGAATGTGATTTATTGGCAACAACGTTTTTTCATACCGATCGTACCCTTAAGAATGTGTGCGTGCGCAGTAAAATCAGAATTAAGCATTACCACACATTTTGAATTTAAAAGGTAAAAAAGACAGAATGATTGAGATTTTTTTTAATTGGTTTTTCTTCACCGTTTGCCTATGTTACTTACTCTGAACCTTCTCTGCAAATTTGGCCGGTCATTACAAATTACTCTGTATTTACATATATAAAGATTAAATATCCAGACGGTCGACGGAGTGCACAGTTAAAGGTGAGAGATATCTAATACTGAGATTGATCCATCTCAATCTCGATCCATCTTGACGACAAGCGAGGCAATAATGCTAGATACTGCCTACTATATTATATTATAGTGGGTGGGCTTGACCGGGGTAGGACCACGCTCTCACAGAATACAAGCGTAAAAGGGGGTGCTAAGAATCTCCGGTGGAGGTTCGGTTGCCACCTACAACGACTCGACCTGGCAACATACAACGCACGCACCCTGAGGACTGACGAGAAGATTGTGGAGCTGGAAGAAGAGATAGACAAGTTACGCTGGCATATTATAGGATTATCCGAAGTCCGAAGAGAGGGGGAGGACACGGTAATCCTCGAATCCGGCAACTTGCTCTATTACCAGGAGGGCGACCATCTGTCCCAAGGAGGTGTCGGATTTATCGTCCACAAGTCTCTCGTTAACAACGTTGTAAAGATTGAGAGTGTGTCGACGAGGGTTGCGTACCTTATACTCAGAATCACCAAACGGTATTCGCTGAAGGTCAAACAGGTTTACGCACCAACCTCGGCACACCCCGATCAGGAGGTGGAGGAAATGTATGAGGATATCTCTAGAGCCATGCATTCCTCCAAAACCCAATATACGGTGTTAATGGGAGACTTCAATGCAAAACTAGGCACAAGAGAGAACGGTGAGCTGAACGTGGGGAAATTTGGAATAGGGCAACGGAACCCAAGGGGCCAGCAGCTGGCCGACTTCATGGAGAAAGAGGGACTCTTTATGATGAACTCTTTCTTCCAGAAGCGGCCCCACAGGAAGTGGACCTGGTCGAGCCCCGACGGTTCGACAAAAAATGAGATTGACTTCATTATGACGACCAGACGACAACTGTTCAGTGATGTCTCAGTGATCGCGAGGGTGAAAACCGGCAGCGATCACGGAATGGTTAGAGGCACACTGAACCTAAACGTTAAGTTGGAGAGGTCTCGTCTAATGAAGTCAACGCTCCGTCCCCCTCGTGCTCTAATCCAAATTTCCGAAACCTTTCAGCTCGAGTTGCAAAACCGTTTTCAGTGCCTAGAAGACTGCAATGAAGTGGACGATTTGAATGACAAGTTCGTGGAAACTGTCCATGCGGTAGGAGCTAAGTTCTTCAAGACCCGCCGCAGAAGAACACAAAAACTCTCCGATCACACTCTTAATCTCATGGCTGTTAGACGGGAGATGAAGCTACATTCTTCAACAGATTTGACAGCATACAGGCAACTGAACAGACAGATCTCCAAATGCATGCGGCGGGACTTACGCAACTTCAATACAACTCGTATTGAAGAAGCGATCGAGCGGAACCAAGGCTCCAAAGTCTTTGCCAGAGATCTGTCTGCCAGAAAGAGCCAACTGTCAAAGCTGAAGACCGAATGTGGCAGCATCGTTTCCGGGGCACCTGAGATTTTGAGTGAGATTGAGAGGTTCTATGGGCAGCTGTACACGTCATCGTTGGAGCCACACGCAAGTGTGAGTAACGATCCAAGAGCGAGTCTTATCCGACATTATTCCGATGATATCCCGGACGTCAGTCTGAGCGAGATTAGAATGGCTCTCCAGCACCTTAAAAATGGCAAGGCCCCAGGCCAGGATGGAATTACAGCGGAGCTTCCGAAAGCGGGTGGAAAACCGGTACTTGAAGTCCTTCAGAAGCTCTTTAATTCCGTCCTCCATGGTGGCATTACACCGGAGGCGTGGAGCAGAAGTGCGGTGGTCTTGTTCTTCAAGAAAGGCGACAATGCTCTCTTGAAGAACTACAGACCGATTTCCCTTCTGAGCCGCGTCTACGTGCTGTTTTCGAGAGTCATTACGAATCGTCTCGCGCGCAGACTTGACGACTTCCAGCCTCCCGAACAAGCCGGTTTCCGAAAAGGCTTTAGCACCATAGACCACATACATACCCTTCGGCAAATTGTACAGAAGTCCGAGGAGTACAATTTGCCACTATGTCTGGCGTATGTGGACTATGAGAAAGCCTTTGATTCCGTCGAAATTTGGGCGGTGCTGCAGTCCCTTCAGCGATGCCAAGTTGACTGTCGGTATATCGAAGTGTTGAAGTGCTTGTACAGTAGGGCTACGATGGCTATCCGAGTACAGAACCAGAGTACGAAACCTATCCAATTGCAGAGAGGTGTAAGACAGGGTGACGTCATATCCCCGAAACTCTTTACCGCTGCATTGGAAGATGTTTTCAAGCTTCTGGACTGGAAAGGATACGGTATCAACATCAATAGCGAGTACATCACTCACCTTCGATTTGCCGACGATATAGTCCTTATGGCAGAATCGCTGGAGGACCTAAGCACTATGCTCAATGACCTTAATAGTGTTTCCCAACGGATAGGTCTTAAGATGAACATGGACAAAACAAAGATCATGTTTAATGTCCATGTCACACCTATGCCGGTAGTTGTTGGGAACAATAAGCTCGAAGTTGTTGACGAGTATGTTTACCTGGGATAAATAGTCCGACTAGGTAAGTCCAACTTCGACCGAGAGGTCAATCGACGGATTCAACTCGGCTGGGCAGCGTTCGGGAAATTACGGCACATCTTCTCGTCAGGTATACCTCAAAACTTGAAAACGAGACTGTACACCCAGTGCGTGTTGCCAGTGATGACATACGGAGCTGAGACGTGGTCCTTCACTGCTGGCCGTATGAGGAAGCTCAAGGTCGCTCAGCGAGCTATGGAGAGGGCTATGCTCGGAGTTTCTCTGCGTGATAAACTCAGAAATGAGGATATCCGCAGTAGAACCAGAGTGACCGACATAGCCCAACGGATTAGTAAGCTGAAGTGGCAATGGGCCGGCCATATAGCTCGAAGAACCGACAACCGATGGGGAAGAAAGGTTCTCGAGTGGCAGCCTCGTACCGGCAGGCGAAGTGTAGGGCGTCCCCCCACTAGATGGAGTGACGACCTGGTAAGATATGCAGGAAGTCGATGGATGCAGGTGGCTCAGGACCGTGCTTTGTGGCATTCTTTGGAGGAGGCCTATGTTCAGCAGTGGACTTGTGAAGGGCTGTAATGATGATGATGAATCACACCATCCACTTACTATCACGTGGACTATGTGCTCGTTTGCAACCCTTATTCAATAAAAATAAACTATAAGTTCACGCCCAGCTGTGGACTGATCATATTATACTAGTGTATGAAAATAAAGAGGCTTTAAGGCACTTACCAGCATCAGTTCAAAGAAGGTTTTATATCCGTATCGGTGCCAACTCAAATGTTGGTCACCTTCTAGCTCCTGGTAGTTTGTTGTTGTACTGACGTCATTCCAGCTGCTTGAACCCTCGTAGTTGCCCACGACAAGGTCCATGAGGGACAAGAACTCCTCGAGGAAATCTTTGTCTTCGAGTAGCTCTGGATGGGTCTCTTTTAAATGGTCTTTTAATCTGGAATTTTGGGGGTAGGTAAATATTTTGTGGTTTAGTATACCGGTTTTGAAACTAAATACTTTTATGAGGTGGAGCTGTATTATGGTTGTAGCACGAATGGGTCGACTCTAAAGATGGAGCGTGAAATAGCAGCTTAATGCTGCTGTTTTTCGTATAGTGAGTGTAGAGAACCGGAAACCTTTTTCAATAGTAATGAGGCATTCCATCTTAGTTATCAGGGCTGACAACGCATCTACATTTTCATTTTCGAGGATAGATGTGTATATCTATGGGCCACAGTATCCACTTACCATCAGGTAGACTGTGTGCTCGCTTGTCGCCCTTATGAATAATGACTGAGAGTGAGGAAACAGTTAGTGCACTTGTGCTTGCACACACACTCGTGCACTACAACCTTGTCCAACACAGGATGCTTTTTTTTTTATAGGAGAGGGGGCAAACGAGCATGCGGCTCACCTGGTGGTAAGTGACTACCGCCGCCCATGAACAACTGCAACACCAGGGAGGGAATTGCAGATCCGTTGCCGGCCTTTTAAAGAGGAGTACGCTCATTTCTTGAAGGTCCCTAAGTCGTATCGGTTCGGAAAAATCGCTAATGGTAATCGATTCCACAAGGAAGTCGTGCGAGGAAGAAAACATCTTCTAAATCGCACAGTGGTGGACCGCCAATCATCCAGATGGTGTGGATGGTATCGGGAGTTCTGCCGCGATGTACGTTCGTGAAATTTGGCGGCTGGGATTAATCCGAACAATTCCTCAGAGCACTCCCCATGGTAGATGCGAAAGAAAATGCAAAGGGATGCAACATCTCTTCGCAGTGCCAATGAATCGAGCCGATCGGAAAGGGCTCGGTCGTCGACGATTCGAGCCGCTCTGCGCTGGATGCGGTCAAGTGGAAGGAGCTGGCACTGGGGAGCCCCTGCCCAGAGATGGGAACAGTATTCCATGTGAGGCCGAACCTGCGCCTTGTTAAGTTGCAGGCGGTGTGCCGGCCCGCTCTGCTGAGCACGCCAAGCTTTTTAGAGGCCAATTTGGCCTTCTCTTGCAAGTGCCCACGAAACTGCACGTCACTCGATATGTCGACTTCGAGGATACCGATACTGGCTGAGGCAAGAAGGGGAGTGCCTTGAAACTGAGGAGATACGACAAAGGGGTTCTTTTTAGCGGTAAACGCGCAAACTTGTGTCTTCTGAGGATTAAACTGGACTAGATTTAGTCGCCCCCAATCCGAGACTTTTTCCAGCAAAGACTCGACTTCAGACACAAGTTTGTTCCGGTACTCGGTGACGTTTTTCCGAGAAATATTGGCACGGCCGGTGTATAGAGCATCACCAGTGCTTTCATCCGCATAGCAATGAATGTTACCAGTTAGCAACATATCATTGATATGCAGAAGAAACAGCGTTGGTGATAGCACACAGCCTTGTGGAACACCAGCGTTAATAGGCTTGTAGTCAGAACATGCACCGTCTACAACGACCTTGATGCTCCGATCTGCAAAGAAACTGGTGATCCAATTGCACAATTTCTCGGGAAGCCCATGCTTGTCTCCGTTGAGACCAGCCTCCGTAACCGAAATTCGGTTTGCAGGACAACAATTTGTAACTTTAAACTTGATGAAACTTTAAGCTTAACTTAATGCTAAGGTGACAAGAAACCGTACCGTGTAGTGGCGGTGTAAGAATACCCACTACCCCATATCGTCCCGTGCGTGTCGTTTGAGGCGACAGAGGGAAATTGAAACAAGTGATGAACGGCAGCATATTCCTGATAAAAACTCAAAATAATTACAACAAACTGCGGTTGCCAACTCGCTTGCCAAGCATGACAACTATAGCAAAGTTGTTCAACAGTGGACTTTAATAGGCTGTAATGGATGGATGGATTTCAAGAAATAGGTTTCAAATCCCCTAAATACTCACTTCCGAGTGATATAAGCGCCCAAAGAATCCTCTTGAGTGTTGGTGTCATCGACCAAAGACAAGCAATACGTTATCAGTTCGTTCACCAGCTCGTGATCGCCTCTGGTCCCGTCAGACCGATACACGTCCACGTCTAGGTTCTGAGAGAGCACGGTGATATTGTTCTGGATTGCGGTGTCGTACACCCTGCTGGGGTACTGACCGTGGATCCTTGAGGTGGATAAGAAACATATTTATTACTAGCTTTTATTTGCGACGCCGTCCGCATAGAACTAAAAAAAATATCTGCAGTTATAGCGGTCTTTGGACAAGTAGTTTAATTTATCAATAACTTACTTCGTGGTAGAGTCACGCTGCAGCTATATTTATAATTGCAGACCAAGGACTACACTCTCACAGAATACCAGCGTAAAATACCTAGTTGCTGTGCTTAGTATAGGAGTTTAGGGAACCGGAGACCCTTTTTACTATAAACGAGGAATTCCATTTTAGTCCTCAGGGGTGACAACACATCTGTATTTTTATTCTTAATTGGGGATAAATGTAGATGTCTATGAGCCGCAGTATCCACTTACCATCAGGTGGAGGTTCGTTTGTACTTCAGTTCTATGAAAAAGGAGTTAGCTTGCTTGCGTTTGTTAAGAGTGGACTTTTACCTGCCGACGGAGAAGAAGAAATAAGTTTAAAGACCAGAATGTACTATGAGAACTACTTACCATTCCGCACCGAGCTCGACAACGCCATCACCGAAAGGCACCGTGTTGACACGACCGCCGATACGATCCTGAGCCTCCAAGCCCAGGACTTTTTTCCCTGCTCTAGCGAGAGTCGACGCTGCCGTCACTCCAGCAGACCCCAACCCTATCACTATGGTGTCATACTGCATTGTGGACCTGGAAAAAACGGTTAATTTAATTATTTTTTACGTACATATACATACAAAAGTTTTGACCTGGAATACGAACCATTGTACGTAAACACATCAATGAATATTATTTTTATTAAAAGAAATCCGTTTAATAGAATTTAGTTGTAATTGAAATAGTTTGAACACATTTGAATAATACTTTTATTTATTACTAAGGAGAGCTATTATGCTACATGCTGTGAGTCACTCCATCTCAGTGGTCAGAGGTGACAACGCATCACTACTGACTGCAGTAGCCACTGACTGGGTGGATTGTAAGTTCACTTGTCATTTGTTTTATAATAAATCTGCATAAACAAAAACAAACAACCGAAAATATAATTTATTTAAATTCAAATATGAATTGCATACACATTAAGTATATACTTAAAATAATATTCTAAGTTTATAACTTACCTATGTACCTTAAGCCGTTTAGCGTCGATCGACCGTTTAAAACTTAAAGTGGACCTTATAAAACGTGTTACGAGGGCCATGACGGTGAAAGGTATAAATTTACAACAATTATTAATGTAAAAGCGTTCATTGCGATGCGTTACGTAATTACAATTTACAAACGATTATTATAATGTGTAATTATGTAATATTGTATAATTTTTAGTTATGCAATTAATTTTAATGATTTCTTATAATTACGCGAACACTACACATGAAATAAAACTACTTTTATGGATTCTTGAAGGTTCGGACCTGTCCATCCTTTGGTTACGCGTAGACAGCAACGACCATCCGCGCGTCTACGGGTGCCTCTATAGGTCCCATAGCGGTAATGCCGAAACAGACCGACTCATCGACCACGTCCAAATGGCTACAGATTCCATGCTACAACAGGTCCCATCCGCAGAGATCGTGATCCTTGGCGATTTTAACGCCCACCATGCCGAATGGCTCGGTTCACGTTTAACCGATCATGCGGGGAGATCTGTTTATGACTTTGCCTTGGCATATGGTCTGACACAACTGGTTACTTCGCCTACGCGGATACCAGATGTGGAGGATCATAAACCTTCCCTGTTGGACCTTCTGCTGACCTCTCATCCGGACGGATATCAGGTTTCCGTCGATGCCCCTCTCGGCTCTTCGGACCATTGTCTGATCCGGAGTGTGGTGCCACTCACGCTCCCCTCGCGGTTGCGTTTTGTAGGTTGCCGCCGTGTTTGGCATTACAGGTCGGCGGATTGGGACGGAATGCGGTCTTTCTTTGCTTCCTACCCATGAGGGCGGGTTTGCTTCTCGCCGGATGATCCCAGCGCTGTTGCTCTGTCACTGATGTGGTGCTACAGGGAATGGAACTATTTATTCCATCATCTGTGGTACCCATCGGAGGCAGATCTCAGCCTTGGTTTGGTCGCTCCTGTAAGACTGCATTACGCAGTAAGCAGGAGTGTTATCAAGCCTGGGCTGCGGCTTCAGTGACTCGGGATGTAAACACCAGCACACTTAAAAAGAAGTATAACTTCGCCTCCAGGTCCTTCAAAAGAGTTATTGCCAAGGCAAAGTCAGAGCACATAGGCAGTATTGGCGAGAAACTAGTTCGCCTTCCTTCGGGAACCCGTGCATTCTGGCCTCTCGCCAAGGTTGTCCAAGGGAATTTCTGTAAGCCATCACTACCATCTCTGCACAGGGAGGACGACTCACTGGTCCAAGACGCAAAAGACAAAGCCGACCTTTTAGGCTCCCTTTTTGCATCCCTGGACATCCAGAAGTCGAGTGGGCCTGACGGAATCCCCCCAATTGTGCTGAGGACGTGTGCTCCGGAGTTGGCACCGGTCCTAACGCGTCTTTTCCGGTACTTCTACTCCCAAGGCGTAGTCCCGAACTCTATTCTATTCTATAGAAGACAGCTTTTGTCCACCCGATCCCTAAAAAAGGCGACCGCTCAGACCGGTCCAACTATAGGCCTATCGCGATCACCTCCTTGTTCTCCAAAATAATGGAATCCATTATTAACTGCCAGCTCATCCGGTACCTTGAGGATCACCAGCTGATTAGTGACCGCCAATACGGTTTTCGTCGGGGTCGATCAGCTGGTGATCTTCTGGTCTACCTGACCCATAGATGGGCGGAGGCAGTAGAGTCCAAGGGGGAGGCGTTGGCCGTTAGTCTGGACATTGCGAAGGCCTTCGATCGGGTCTGGCACAAAGCGCTTCTTTCGAAGCTCCCTTCCAATGGGCTTCCCGAGAAATTGTGCAATTGGATACCAGCTTCCTTGCAGATCGGAGCATCAAGGTCTATTAACGCTGGTGTTCCACAAGGCTGTGTGCTATCACCAACGCTGTTTCTTCTGCATATCAATGATATGTTGCTAACTGGTAACATTCATTGCTATGCGGATGACAGCACTGATGATGCTCTATACACCGGCCGTGCCAATATTTCTCGGGAAAACGTCGCCGAGTACCGGAACAAACTTGTGTCTGAAGTCGAGTCTTTGTTGAACAAAGTCTCGGATTGGGGGCGACTAAATCTAGTCCAGTTTAATCCTCAGAAGACACAAGTTTGCGCGTTTACCGCCAAAAAGAATCCCTTTGTCGTATCTCCTCAGTTTCAAGGCACTCCCCTTCTTGCCTCAGCCAGTATCGGTATCCTCGGAGTCGACATATCGAGTGACGTGCAGTTTCGTGGTCACTAGGAAGAGAAGCCCAAATTGGCCTCTAAAAAGCTAGGCGTGCTCAGCAGAGCGGGACAGTATTTCATGCCGGCACACCGCCTGCAACTTTACAAGGCGCAGGTTCGGCCTCACATGGAATACTGTTCCCATCTCTGGGCAGGGGCTCCCCAGTGCCAGCTCCTTCCACTTGACCGCATCCAGTGCAGAGCGGCTCGAATCGTCGACGACCGAGCCCTTTCCGATCGGCTCGATTCATTGGCACTGCGAAGAGATGTTGCATCCCTTTGCATTTTCTTTCGCATTTACCATGGGGAGTGCTCTGAGGAATTGTTCGGATTAATCCCAGCCGCCAAATTTCAAAAACGCACATCGCGACAGAACTCCCGATACCATCCACACCATCTGGATGATTGGCGGTCCACCACTGTGCGATTTAGAAGATGTTTTCTTCCTCGCACAACTTCCTTGTGGAATCGATTACCATCAGCGATTTTTCCGGACCGATACGACTTAGGGACCTTCAAGAAAAGAGCGTACTCCTTTTTAAAAGGCCGGCAACGCATCTGCAATTCCCTCTCTGGTGTTGCAGTTTTTCATGGGCGGCGGTAGTCACTTACCATCAGGTGAGCCGCATGCTCGTTTGCCCCCTATCCTATAAAAAAAAAAATCTTACGCGTTTAATTAACTTGTATTTTAATGATTCCGGACGTTTCGGGTACTTTACAGCACCCGTGCGTGATTCGTGACCATCATATTCTGTGTTTTATTTCACTCTTTTACTCCTCCCCAATTAGAGGAGAAATTTCATTGTGTAGGGTTTCCACGGGAAGATCTTCGTTCTGCGAGAAATTTAATTTTAAGGGTGCCAAATCACGGAACATTACTCTTTAACAAATCTTTTATAATCCAAGTTGTAAAAGAGATGAAATGCCTTTAGATATCCGTGAAGCGTGACCCATTTATCTTTAAAAAAAAATTGTGAATTGTGTCAATCTTTCGGGCTTCTCGGGCGCCGTTGTCATTATGTATCTTTATATTGTGTTTAGGTAGCCACACACGTAACGATATACATACGCTTAGGACTCGCACAAGTATTAAAATAGTTTAAATATTCGATTCTAAGCTTGTGAAAATTATCACTGAGAACAAAACGCATGTAAGCCAGGTGGGTTTTGTGCGATAGGAAAGCGAAGTAAATGTCCCCCCATGAGGCAATCTAGGAGAGACCTATGAACAGCAGTAGACTTTTGACAGGCTGTAATGATGATGATAATGATAATGAAACTACTTAGCCTCTGCCTGCAACGAAAATACCCCTGCTTAGTAGTGGTCTTTAAGAGGCTGATGAAATAAATAGAAGTATCTACTTAGCCTCGAACAAAGCCATTTTTATTTTCTAGATATTATTCGGAAGATATCCTTGTTTGTTTCCCTCTTACTAAACCTATAGTACGACATACAGCATTATGCTACACTTCTCAGCAAGCCTTAAAAAATTTTTTAAGCATGTCGGAAGAAAAAGTGCTTCCGAACTGCTTTTTCCGCGTGCACTGGCGTAATGGTTAGGAATACGTAAATACTGTGTTCTATTAAAATATTGATTGAGACAATTTTATGAAGATAAACTTTGCTATTTATAGCATGTTATTTGGACGCATAGTTTACGAGATAATGAAAAATTAAAATAATTCAACACTCGGCTCGGCGCGCATATGATGCATAACCCTAGCCGCCCGATGAAAAGCGAGTTGTCATTCTCGACCCTCAGAAACGTGATCTACATGGGTGAAACCGCGGGGCACAGCTAGTAAATAATATAAGAAGGGAGGACTATTATGCAATTATGGAGTAAATTACCACACTTGGTGGGAAGGTTGGCAAAAGTTTTCTGATATTTTTTTGTAGTTATTAGGAAGACGCTGCTACCCATCTGCTGTTTTATATCCATATGTCGCATTTTACAACACCCATGGGATGATATGGAATAGTGGATATTCTTACACCATCACAACATGGTCATACCTGTGGCGGCACTGTCGTCGCGCCGTATTCAAAACGCACTGAAGCCTAAATCTCGCTATCAAAGTTGTGAAGTTAACCTGCTATGTATAGAACAGCTCCGTAATAACACATGGAGTATTGGCCGCTCCCCAGGCTGAATACCTTGCCCAGTGGGAGATCTTCTCTTTTCCTTTCGTGGTCTAATACCTCTTACATAAAATCCTTAGCTATAAATATTTTTATAAAACTGAATTACTTCTAATGGCTACTGCAGACAAATGCAGCTATCATCAAACAAAAAAAGCTATAGATATGCTGTCATCTCCAAGGACTAATGGAATACTACAGGGCATGTAATTATATTGGCTCCCTATACACTTCAAACCAGAACACCGAAATAATATAGAATAGAGGCGGGATATAGACGAAGAATACACAAAATAATGCATTTCTTGAATGAATTGCTTATTCACATCATACTGAGCATACGGACGAGCAAAGTCAATGCCTCCACTACTAACACAGTCTAACTAATAGTAACAGTCGGTCATCGAAGGCATCTAGACGGGGCAATCGTGCGGTGTGGTACTGGGCGAGACGCACCTGAGCGGCCGTTAGCCGCTCGGGAGCTCTCCACTAGGGTTGTCCGATCACACAAATAAATTCAAAAGTTCCGACAACCCTAGCAATTTACTGTTTATGCCAGCTTTTTCAACAATATCAAACACAATGACTGACTGTATGTTCTTCTTGGCTGTGCTACTACTCCCACCAGTCTGTGAAATAGGGGTTAGAATTATTTATCAGTGATCAGTTTACAACATGATACTTATGTAGATGTGAGATTTTTACTTGTAGAAAATGTTGTCATATTCTTGCTTACACGCCCAAGATTATGATATAAGCAATACATACTTATACAAGTTCAAAATATGTGTAAAACACACAAAATTTTCTAATATTATATTAATTTCCGTGGTGCAGTGGCTTGGCAATGAGTTGTTGCACTGGGGGCCGCGGGTTCAAATACAAAAAAAAATTAAAGGAAAAAAAATGAATTTGAAACAATGAAAAAAAAAAACAATAAAAAGCACTAAACTTTTTTACACTACTGCCAGTATTAGAAAATAAACCTAGTATACTTCATATACAAGAGTACAATAACTTTATATAATATAATGTAACTTTCAATAAGTATTACTTGTAATGTATAAGGAATAAAAAGTATTGTATTTTAAAAAATATAAAAAATATTGTACGTTGTTGAGCCACTCTGCATCTATATTATGTTTGTAGTGCAAATGGGCGACTCGACCAGGGTAGGTCCACAATCTCACAGTATATTAGTGTAAAAGAGCAATTCATTGCTACTGTTTTTTTTTTTTATAGGATCGAGAGACAAACGAGCACACAGTCCACCTGATGGTAAGTGGTTGCTGCGGCCCATAGACATCTACATATATCCTCGTTTGCGAATCAAAATGCAGATGCATTGTCACTCGTGAGGACTAAGATGGAATGCCTCTTATCCAGTAAAAAGGGTCTCCGGTTCTCTACACTCACTATATGAAACACAGCAGTGTTAAGCTGCTATTTTACGCTGGTATTCTGTGAGAGCGTGGTCCTTCCCCGGTCGAGCTGACCCATTCGTGCTACAACTATACTACTAATATAGCTGCAGCATGGCTCTATCACGTATACTACGTTTTGTATGGTGAGTGTAGAGAACCTGAAACCCTTTACTGGAAACGAGGTATTCCTTGTCAGTCCTCAGGGGTGAAAACACATCTGCATTTTGATTCTTAATTGAGGATAAAGGTAGATGTCTATGAGCCACAGCATCCACTTACCATCAGGTGAACTGTGTGCATGTTTGTCACCCTTATTCTATAAAAAATATGGTAAATTTTCATAAATTCATCCCATGATAAAGAAGTAACGGAGTACTAATATGTAAATAAAATACCTTTAAATTCTAGGATGATTGTATTAACTTAACCTTCCTTAAAAATTATAGGTATTTTATTTAAAGAAAAATCTTTAATTTTTTATTGAGATGACCCATGCAAATACAAGAGGAAATTTTCAATTGTGCTAAATATAAGTTTTATTAAAAATATTTGTTATTTAGATAGATAGATAGATAGATAATTCTTCGTTGTACATCAAATCAATGTATAAACAAAAGAAGAAGAAAAAAAAATAGTGACATAAAACATGGTCTTATTGCTAAAAGCAATTTCTTCCAGACAACCTTTGGATGAACAGGATTACAAAAAACAGAAAATTGTGTGTCTTGTGATGCAGTGCAGAAACAATATTTATAAAGATATCCGTATAATATAATATAGATAAATAAATACATAAAAAAAACGAATATTTACATATATAGATGACATGAATTCAAAGAAGATAGTGAAGATAGTGATTATGTACAAGTTTCTGAAAAACAAATAAAGATTGGACGCATCTCGCTGACAGAGGTAGGGTATTCCATAGACGGAATGCTTGGATATGAAACGACCTGTCCAAAAATTTTGTATTATGGGCAGGCATTTTTAATGTAAAATTTTCTGATAATCTCAAAACTTTTGAATGGGAATAATAAAGAAATTCAAAGCGATCCTTTAGATAAGAAAGAAGGAAGGATTAAAGAAAATATTGTAAATAATCTACAGAATATGAGCATTCCGGAGAAGACGAATAGGAAGCCACATTAGAGCCATGATTATTTTTGCGCAAACCAAATATGAATCTTATATAAAAATTTTGAAGCGCGAGTTTATAATTTTTTTATTTAATGTATTTTAATCAAAGAATGAGTGAAATCACATTTTATATGTAAACTGTAAACAAAAGTGCGTATTAGTTTTGAAAGAATAAACAAAGAAGTATTGATCGTAAATTACCTTAAAATATGTTTGACGAATTCAGAACAATTATGTAATTCCATGCCACAGTCATTTAAATAGATAAAGACACTGAAAGTGCCCTTCTTAAGATTGAAATTTACGTTGGTATTCTTATTTTTATCAGTTCATTTCACTTCAGCTTAACGTCACCTGTAGGCATGGGTAATAAATATCGATATATCGAAATATCGCTTTTTTTAATAAACATTTCGATATATCGATATTTATTTTAGAGTATCGAATTCGTATCAATTTTGATATATTTTAAAATGTTGTATCGATTTTTTCGTTGTCCAACCGTCAGTAGATAAAATTGTGGACCTTGTCTTTACATTATTCAAATGATGACGATATATCGGTATATCGATATTTATCACGCGATATATATCGATACTGTTTCAAAATATAGATTCCATATATATCGATATATTTTTCCCTTTGCCCATCCCTAGTCACATGGCATGGACAGTTACTATACTCTTTGGTCACATCTATAACATATACATAACAGTACTGCCAATTTTTATTTTTGAACTTCCCGCCGCATTAAGATAATTTATCGCTTTTCTCCAATACCTTGTAAATAAACGACATGGTAATTTACAAAAATATATAATTTTAATAAATTTAATTGTAATATTATACTTAAACAAATAACTTTATTCAACAAAGAAAACTTTTTTTAACTTTGGTTTAATTGTTCTATATACGCCAAATAATATATATTACATAACCCCTTATGTGCCCGACCATTTTATGTTATATATGTAAAAATTATATGGTAAAATAGCTCAAAGTATCCGTTAAAAATGAATATTTACAGGCAAAAAACATTGGTAATAAGTATCAAAACTAAAAACCAGATAGTAAAAAGAGATTGAGATAGATTGTTAGTTCTAAACAATTAGAAAATTTTACTGCTTAAATGATAGAATGCAGGTATTTAATAAAATTACACTACATATCTGTACTTTATATTATTTTTTTTGGTTTAAAACTTAGCACTTATCTTAATTTAACTTTAATTTTTAACCACTTTTCTACAACAAAACTACAACTTTATAAAATATATATCGCATTCTTAGACCATCCAACCAATGGGTTGATTGGTTTAAATGGTCTGAGATCGCACCGCATGGTACGATAACAATAACATGATTTAAAAAAGTGTGTACTTATGTATGCACGTATGAAGTTATACTTCTTTAGCGTAACAAAACAAAAACACTTGAGAGACAATTACCCACTGAAGTAGTCGCTTTCAGGTGTCAGTGTGCGCGAGCTTCGTAACAATTTCATGGTATCGTTTTTAGGTGTCTGTGTGCGCGCGCATCGTAAAAATTCACTCTCATCATTTTTCCCAAACGCCCCTAAAGAAGTATAACTTAAAAAAAAACCGTCTTGAAAAGAACTAAAAAAATTTAAAACCTTATTGGGTATTTTATATAAAACCTTTCCAGAAGCCAATACTCCTGCTACCCTATTCAGCGTGGCAACTATGGCATATACCCTTATAGTATATACACAGAAAGGGTGGCCCCTGTTCAGCAGTGAACTTTGATAGGCTGTAACGAATGATTAAATAGTGTAATGATATTATAGTTTTTACAGTCTAATAATAATTTATGTTATTGGTAAAATTAAAAGAAAACTAAAATTTAATTTTGCTTAAAATAGAAAATCGACCAAGTTATAATTTATTAATGTATGCTTTCATAAACAACAACGCGGTATAATTTTTGATTTTCCATGGGCCTGAATTCTCTGCGTTTTTCAATCGAACCTCGCGCTCTGTCAACTCAGGCCATCTTTTCCTCGCCTATCGAGATATTCGATGTTTCGAGATTGGCAATTTGGCAGTACTACTTCACAGTGATCATTTTCTTACTCTATGGATAATTTCTTTTTGTTAAGATATTTGGCTTGGATGCTTGTCCTTTAAGCCATGTTTTCATTTCATTTGAGATCTTCAAGTGATAATAATTCTTTATAATACATACATAATATAAATACATAAACTCTCACGTCTGTCACCCAGAGGGGTAGGCAGAGCCTACGGACTTTAATTTGGAACGATCCTGGCACACCTCTCTCGCCTCCTCCACATCCATATATCTACGTATACATGCTCGTCGGTTTCGGCCCATTTTCAATATATCGCCAATTTGGTCGATAAACTTTCGCCTAGGGCGTCCCTTTCCGTCTCTGCCGTTCACTTCTACACCATAAATTTGCTTTGTCACACTTTCCCCATTAATTCTTTCTACATGACCAAACCACCGAAGCAAGCCTCACACTCTTCTTTTATCACACAATTTCTTGAAAACCACACTTTTCTCTTATTACACAATTTCTCACTTCAACTCGAGCCAGCAGACAGTTTCCGATAGTATCTCAAGGCGCTTAAGCAGACAGACCTTATCTTGAGATTCACATCACCATCCGAGCACTTGTTTCACCGCTTCTACTTATAGTTTACATGTGCAGACATTTATTACACAAAATCGCAACACTTTTACATGTCAAAATCCACTTCAAACCATTATTTAAACAATAAACGGGAGCAGCACTCCGCCGCCAGTCCAGTTCCCGCCAAAAGTCCTGGATCACTTCTTGTGGCCCATATACATAGAGTATACTAACACAACAACATATTAGTAAGTATTATGTTGTTATTAAAATCAATCCTCCATCTACAGCAAAATACAACTAAGAACTGGGAGTGTTCTGGCCTCAGACTGTCGGTAGTGTAATGTTCCTTTCCTTGCTCTCGTCTATTATTTATTGTGCTTTCGGTAGGTTTCCACTAGGAGTAATTTGGTGTTCTGTGCGGTAGGTACCTATACACAGTTTAATCTATGGTGGCATTGGTTACATGTTAAAGGGTCTTGGGCCACAGAAATACTTAGTTTTGTTTCGGTATAAAGTGGGCTTCGATTCGTACGGTTGTACCACATAAGTAAAGGTTGTAGCTTAGTATCTCTGTTCCCCCCCCCCCCCTCCGAACGGATTCCCGCCTTGTCAATGCGGGGGAAGGGTTTAGTAGCCATGGCTTGTTCATCCACGGTGAACAAAGAGGAACTCACTTGGCTAGCCCAAGGTGTAAGGCCGCTCAGAATGAGCTTGCTTAGCACACTCTGGCTGCGCGTTGGTGAACTGTGGCGGAGAGAGGACTGTTACTGCGAAGGTGGTGGGTTCGCGGGGAGAAAGGAGTGTTGTTAATGCTAGGTCCTGCGCTCCCTGCCCTCCATGGCTTAAAATTGGTTGGCGGTAGAACTATAGACCAGATCCGCCGCAGGAGTCAGAAAGGTATGTTTCTGAGTGTTCGATTTTCCTGGCCAGATTGCCTACGCGTATCAGTTTCTAAGGGTCCGCTGCGCAGGTGGATTTAGAGGCTGCGGAGGGAGTCGCGCCTAGTGTTATGATGCGCCTTATCTGAAAAGGAGAAGGAGGAGCACTTGTCCTTCCCCGACGATGATTCCTCATAGGAAGGCCGGCGCTCAAGTTATTTCACTGCGACGACAGTGTCTTGTCGCACAAAATAACTTGAGATGTATAGAACTTTCAGAGCAGTTGTTTCATCGTGGAAAGATGGCTCAATAACTTAGTGAAAAGCAATAGTTCACTCAAGCGGATTTAATACACACATTCACACCACACCACACACCACACTTATAAGTAGGTACCAAAATCAATAATGTATTTGAGTTGTACGCTATGCTATGCCTGTTTGATAAATAAATATAGTATTACGTAACACCTTAGCATTATAAAATTATCGTATATTATGCAATTAATGAGTTTATTTTAAGAAGTTTTTAGCTAGATAAAGTAAAGTTTTAAATGACTTCAAAATAGGAGGAGATTCCCAATTCGATAGAGTATGTTTTATGTGTGTATTTTATACAATTTCTTCGTATGTTGTTCGTTATCTCTTCACCAAGTGTAAACTGATTTTAATGTAAAATTAAGATTCAAAATTGTAAACTGAATTTTAATCTGATGAATAGAAATAATTTTATACGTGGTAGAGCCATGCTGCAGCTATATTAGTAGTATAGTTGTAGCACGAATGGGTCGGCTCGACCGGGGAAGGACCACGTTCTCACAGAATACCAGCGTAAAATAGCATCTTAACACTGCTGTGTGTCCTATGGTGAGTGTAGAGTACCGGAGACCCTTTTTACTGGAAAAGAGGCATTCCATCTTAGTCCTCAAGGGTGACAACGCATCTGCATTTTGATTCACAAACGAGGATAAATGTAGATGTCTATGGGCCACAGCAACCACTTACCATCAGGTGGACTGTGTGCTCGTTTGTCACCCTATCCTATAAAAAAATTTTTTTTCTTCCAATTAAAGCGAACCCATTTAAATATAATGAAATAATTTTACTCCTTATGGCTGGTCAGGGGCTATAATTATTTTATACTAATGGTTCTTAACCTTTTAGTGATGAGGGAGGTGGTAATTTAAAAAAACATCCTAATTTCAATAGATAGGGAGGCTGGGTACTACCACCTGCTTGGGATCCTGTAATTCATAAAATTAAAACTAAACCCAAGCATACCACTGCAAGACTTCAAGACACAGTTAGTTCATTCTGCGTAGATCGGACCAAAATTATTAATTAAAAAAGCTGAAGGTACTCCGGTTTAACACTGACATCGGGACGTCAATCACCTCAGTCCCCCGTGACCACGGTTGCTGGAAAGCAACCGAAACATCGGGAATATAAAATAAGTTAATTAAACGCGATAAAATCCGTAAAATAGTTTTATTCAATTTTTTTCTTGCCACCGACCACCAACTTTTATACATAATATTATAAATGAGAGTAACATGTCTTTAGAAGTTTTATCTTTAAATAAAATCCAACAAAAAAGTGTGTAGCGTTATTGTGTCGCTACTTATGTAGCAACACCTATATTGATACTGCAGCGCCAGTGAACACCGGCCATTAAAATGTTGTCCCCTTTTTTATATGTGAGCAATAGGCCTTTTCATCATATGATGAGCGCATGTGCAGCCGCCATATTGAAACAGCGGTAGTTCAGAAGTTTAATACGTAAGGCTGTCCAAGGGAACTTCTGTCAGCCATCTCTTCCATCTCTGCACAGAGAGACTCATTCGACTCATTGGCCCATGCCGCAAAAGAGA